GCAGCTAGCTAGCATAGGTTCCCTTATTTTATAGCTGCACTAATTTAGCTTTGGGGGAAAAAGTTTAGGGCTGTAATTTTTTTTTTTTTTTTTGACAGGTAGAGTGGACAGTGAGAGAGAGAGAGAGAGAGAAGGTCCTTCCCTTTGCCGTTGGTTCACCCTCCAATGGCCGCCGTGGGCTGGGCGCGCTGCGGCCGGCGCACCGCGCTGATCCGATGGCAGGAGCCAGGTACTTCTCCTGGTCTCCCATGCGGGTGCAGGGCCCAAGCACTTGGGCCATCCTCCACTGCACTCCCTGGCCACAGCAGAGAGCTGGCCTGGAAGAGGGGCAACCGGGACAGAATCCGGTGCCCCAACCGGGACTAGAACCCGGTGTGCCGGCGCTGCAAGGCGGAGGATTAGCCTAGTGAGCCACGGCGCCGGCTAGGGCTGTAATTTTAAACTTTAGTTTTTATTTGGGGCAAAGGTGACTTCTTGTTTTTAATAGTATTGGCTTAGGTCACTCCATCTTGGTTTGATTTTTAAGGTTCTTCACATATATACATACACTTTCTATATACATACACTTTCTAGGAAACCCAGGGTTCCCTGACCCCAGGATAAGAAACTCCAATCAAAGGAATCAGGGGCAGGGGAAGGGGAGGTGGAGAGGGAGGGAGAGAGAGCGAGAAATAAAACCCAACTTTCAAACACTAAAAGTTCTTCTACCACAGACCCTCCAAACGCCCTAGACCCTTTGGTGAATGGGCACTCAAATCAGCTTTCTCCATTTTCGCAAAAGGATTTCTATGCTTTTTATCACACTTGTTCTAGAATATGGCAAATCAGAAAATGTAGGGACAGAGCCTGGCTGTCCCTTCCAGAACTACCCTGAGCAAGTCCCTTTCCTTCGGAGCATCTGAGTGATTGGTGGGGCTCAGAAAATCCAAGTAGGTGGGGCAGATTGGGAGGCGTCATCTCTGTCTTCACATCCAGCTCTGATAGTCTACTGTTCCATGTGCTGGCTTTCTAATTGAATCTCATACCAAGAGGAAACCATGAATCTGTTTATCTATGGAACAGAACCAAGAAATTCAGCCTGGGCCCTCAGACACCTTAGCCAGAACAGTCCAAGCACATAAGGCTGGCAGCCAGGAGAGAATGGCAGACCACAAAGCTGCAAACAGTACAAGAGACACTGTGTTTTTCAATAGTTCTATTTTAGAGCGTCCCAAGCATTTCTGGGAACGTGGCAGGTGTATCTCAGGTTCAGCCTGTAGGACTTGCAGCTTCCTACCCTGACTTCAATTCACTTCTGTCTATCTTGTAATTTGAATTTAGAATACTATCTGAAATACCCAAGTACAAATTCCTAAGTATTGACGTGAAAAGGCTCAATTTCCCTTCCTCCTCTGTCTAAAATTCATTGCTATCATTTAAAATACAGCCTATTCGCTGAAGACTCCCAAACTGTGATCTTAAATGCGCACCTTGCCAAGTCTTGGATTGCCCACCTAACATCTCAAGCTGGATGACTAAATAGCATTTCAAACTGAACTCCATTTCCCGCCCCTAATGTAACACTTGCTCCTCCCCTAGGATTCTCCATCTCAATAGATGGCCTCACCATTTAGTTACTCAGACAGAAATAGAAAAACACACACCACACAACCAAACCATCAGAAAACCCATTCTCACCACTTTGAAAAGGATTCCTTAATCTAGCCTCTCTCATTATTTCCAGAACCAGCCCACATCACCAACT